CGCGTTATCCAATAACAGAATTAAATAAGTCGAATAACGAGAATTGACTTGAGAATACATATATTTCGTATATGAAACGAATGAAGAATAGCAAAGCAAAAATGTCACGTATGGAAGATGGCTGGGAAGCCAACTCCAATTCAAGCCGAACATTACTCAATATTTATAGGCAGACAAAATGAACTACAGACATGTGATGAGTCATGGGACATCAAGTGTACATACATATACGCTCACATGAATACAGTCAAGGCTAACAAGCGAATAATTAACAAGGTCAAAACATGACTCAAGTAGAATGAGTAGAATGGAATGTCCGGAAACTAGAATAAGATATACTATGGGCTAAAACGAATGACTAACACTACAACTTTCGTCAATTTTATTAGGAATGTCATTGCAGAGTAAAGGATCATTGGAAAAATCAGCATCTATCAAGACTGCATCAGGCTTTCGATCATGACTAGGTTCATTCAACATATTTTCCTCAGATTTATAAGGAATTTCATCAGAAATATATGAATCGTTAGGAAAAACCATACCTGGTACAATAAGATGAGAAATCTGATAAGTTGATTGATTAGAAACTGTTGTCTCACATGGATTCTGAGTTTCATTTAACCCTGGTCTGCTATGTGACTCAATACTGCTTTTCGAAGTCGTGGATAAAGATAAATGATCGTTAGAAACACCCAACTCAATAGAATCACAACTACAAATTTTAAGATTAGTTGCAGCGGAATGAACTGTAGTATGACATATTGACTGAATGTGTTCTATCTTACCACATTTAAAACATTTAGCATTACGAAATGCACATGAATTACGAGAATGAAATTTGCCACAGGATAAGCATTTACCAAACTTGATCTCATCTTTATGAACTGTATCGCAACTCCTCAATGAATTATCTGCATAACGTTGAGTACGCATTAGATTGCGATAACTTAGTAATGTAGTTGAATCCTTGATGTCCTGATGAATAATTTTATGAAATTTCCCTCCCTTACTGTATTCGAAATTTGTATACTTAACATAGTGGTTCCTTGAGAGTTGTTTAAGGAAGCAAAATGGGCTTTTCCGGTAAAGCTAGAGATTTCAATGAGCTATATGCTTCTTTGCCGATGAATGTGAGTTATTGTGCTACAATATCAAAATCCTCGACATCTTTCTTGGTCATAGCCCAAGTTTCGAACCTTTCCAACTAATCCTCAAAAACATCAAAATCTGAATGTATGTCCAACCGTTCCATCACAGGCTCCACTGCGACTACAATGTGATTATTAAGAGTATTTGAATTATAGTACGAACTAAAAATTCCAGAAATAACGCAATTGGATCAAGAAGTACAAGATAAGCACGAACGAATATACTGTATTTGGAATTCGAAATCAAGCATTCAAAAAGTAAAAAGGAATCATTAGTTCATTCAAACACCACAACTAAATATGTTTGCTTTATTCTTTTGTGCTATTTAAACTTGGATTAATTAGTTTGTTTATTTATTCTCTAAAGAAGTGGCTTACTCTGAGTTACGAAACGTCAGAATGTTGGAAAAATTTAAATTTTCCTACTAAGATGTTACAAATATATCACTCACATTAACAACAACCTAATAATTCTCAATTTTTTTAAAATTATCTAGTCAAACTATAGTGTCGTTTACTATGTTAAGCCCATATACCTTATTCTAGCTTTCGGACAGGCCAATCCATTCATTCTACTTGAGTCATATTTTGACCTTGTTAATTACTCGCTTTTCAATCTTGACTTTTTTATATGAGCGCATATGTGTGTGTACATTTCTCATCCTATTCATCAAAAGTCTACAACTTATTTTTATTTGACTATAAATATTGGTTAATGCTTGGGTAAATGGAGTTGGCTCACATGCCTTTTTCACTGTGCATCATTTCGCTTCTCTCTTTTCTCTTCGCTTCTCCGATATTTTGTCTGGATCAAAGATTCTATGAAATATACGCATTCAAAATTCATTCTCGTATTTGAATTATTTAATTCTGTTATTGACTAACACGATTTAAGTCGATGATTATATACGAGGATAGACGATAAAAATATTTCAATAACAATCATTTATACGATCTACTTGGAGTCAGATCCTGGGATATTGAAAAACCTTGGTAATAATACCTACAAACTCATTTGAGTAGATTAAATTATTTTCTATTACCTTATATTTTCAAGCATTACAATTTCTGTGATAATTTCGTCTAATTTTCTTTATCATCACCAAAGTTTATCTGGTAGGTAAATTTCAATTATATGAACATTAGTAGGCAAACATTATTTTGAATTCTTGAGAAAATTTATTAGAAATATTATCATGTTAATTGTATAGTTTACTTTAAACTTTATAAAGGTTGAACGAAAATGTTCCATTGTCTTGATAATATTTTTTGAGATGAAAATCTGGTAAAGTGTGTAATCAGCTATATCAGTGAACATCTGTATGTTTGAAGCTTAATTTCCCAACCAAAAATCTCAAATATCCTACATCAAAGTCTTAGAAATATTAACTTGTGATTTCCGTGGTCATATTATTAAAACATTTGAATAGTTGGGAGTACGTTCTTATTGGTATGTGATTTGTTCAAAATGAGGACTATCAAAGCCAAGTTTAGTTAAAACGTTTCTTTCAACAGCGACAATAACCGATCATTTGATGAGAAATACGTAATTCGATAACAAATATAAAATTAGAAATTAGTCTATGCATGGGAAATTGAATTATCCGATGATGTGAAGTAAAACAATAAAATTAAAATATGAAATCCCAAATAACCAAATCCCTAGTACTACAATTGCCCTCAAATGCCGTGGTACGGCTGAGAGTGGGGAGAGTCAACTCTCCTTCTTGTAATGCTCTCACATGGCCACGTGCATACAAACACTGCCAGAGAAGTCCTACCCCCTGCCTTCCCGCGGCGGGGTTGTTGTTTACGAAATTGAGAGAACGAAAAGCGGATACCTTGTGCCTTAACCGGGTTGGTGGATACGGAGGATCCACTTAGGGGAGTTGAAAAACCCTGACTCCAAACCAATGATGTACATGGGCTCCAGTATCCTGAGGGATTAGACCTTTAAGTCAGAGGTACGGTGACCACAGATGTAGCCAAAGCCTTCGCTTGTTAACTAAAATTCACGAACAAATATCTTCAATCGGAGCATCCTAAACACAATCGCACTATATGAATTACATCCTTAAAATAAGAAAGCAACATTTGAGCATATCTGAACGAACGTTTAATACAGAATTGTTTATCAAGATTTCGACTGTTAACCTGTCTTTCATCGAAGACATTGTATGAAATCAGGTCCCCTGTGTGACTGATTAGTATTCTCTAAGCAAATGAGTTAAGTGATCTTGCAGCCATAAGTAAATTTTGTTTGTTTATTACAAGCTATATTAGGAAATAATTTCTATATAGTCAGAATCAGTAGCGACCTTTTTATTCATGACATTATAAATTAAGTAATGGGTGATGACCTCAAGTTGCATTACAGGCGAACACTAAGAACCGATTCATTTTTCGAGTTATGGATCTTTAGTTTAATGCAAAAAAATACCCGAAAGGTCTCAGAAGAAGAAAATATCGTGTCAAAACTGTAACAATAGATACATTGGGTTGACGGTTTACTATTAACTCAGTAAATATTTTTTTCTTCAAGTATTCCATTTGTTATTTAGCGAAGGTGAAGCATGCTTGTATGTACTTCGATGTCTGACTTCAATGTTTCAGCTGTATATTGTCGGTAGCTGATAGCGATGTGGTCAACCTCATGCCCAAACCTCCTCCTTTGTCCGGGCTTGGGACCGGCAGTAGCTCTAGAAGAGATACAAGCGGAGTTCGATCTTCTTCAGTGTTATGTTTATTCAAGATACGATATTTGTGTATTTAATTAACGTGGACTATGCTCAGCACGATTTTCAGCATGTGATGTGTTACAACCCTGGGTATTTTTCACATATGTGACTTTTCTAATTGATACTCGGAATGGGTGTACAAGAAATTTTAAATAAACAGATTTCAAAATCGCTAAATAAAACGTTCTACGCAGCTAAGCTCTGAATCGTTTTCTCAAGCCGGCCTACCATTCTTGGATGTGTTAAGGATAATCTTCCGCTTTGGGCCACATTAATGTGCATCTATAAATTTACTTGCTCATGTGGCGCACATTACATAGGGCGCACAAAACGATCACTTTCCATACGTATCTCAGAACACTATCCGGCTTGGCTTTTAAAAGGTGAATATAAAACAATTACTAGTTCAATACAGGAGCATTTAATAAACTGTGGACACATCGCTCCAAATAATTCCTTTTTAAAATAATCTACAGAGTCAAAGGAATCGAATCAAAGGGGTGTCGAATCAATATTTTATGCACTGCTGAGGCATTGGCAATCCACGAACTCAAGCTGTAACTTTGCATTTAAACAGTTCAAATTTTTTTAAATATCAATTATTTCTTGGTAATAATATAATTATATTAGTTAATGAAATAAAACAACATTGTGAATATTTTTTGCTTAATATTTTAATTTCAATTAAAAAAGAGAGTTTAGGTGACAAAAATTTTGGATTAATTATTTTATTAATGACCTTAAAATAAAGTTATATCATTTACACGTAGAATGAAGAGATTTATAGAGCCGAATATAAGAGAAGATATTACTTAATAAGGCCTTAGTGATTATTCATTTCAGAAATTTGCTTTTCATTGCATAAACTTGATCTAGTTTATTGTGTGGTTTTTTTAACTAATTAGGAACAAGTTGAATAAAACTAACAGGTTTAATGATTAATTATCAATCTTTAAAATACAAATATTTCACAAATCCACACTTATTTATTATAACTTAACAAGATGGATTAACAAAAATAATATAAGCTTGTGATAGTTCAACTGTTTTCGCATCGAATCATTGAATAATGAGCAAACACTCATTGTGCACGATTCCGACAAGTGCAAATGATTCATTTAAGATGTAGTTGTATTTGATTATTTTCATGTTCTGATCTCCACCTACGACGTCTGATTTTATTGAGTTGTTTAGCACGAATTGGGCATCTGTCACCTGAAACGTGTAAAAATATGTTTGGAAAAGTGAGTTGACGTCTATGAGAGAGAAAGGAGTTTCATCACTGTCTATCATCGTTCGAAGAACAATGGGAAAGCAATAACCGTTAAGCATTTGGTCAATTCAAGCTTTCGAAATTGTGCGTTACTTGCACTTTCAAGTAAGTAGGTCGTCGAACACGGAATCATCACTTCTAACGGTGTTTACAGATCTGCGTTTCACCGTTATAATCTTTATCATAGAACAGTCATTACCGCTTAGACTGGTGGCTCTTCAATTCGATCGATGCATACTATTTTAAGTTCAGTTTCATAAATCTTATGACCAATCCAAGTCTTATCTGTTGAAGAAGACATCATGACTACGGAGTCAGGAAATGGGATTTTCAATGAATGTGGGTATTAACTGAATACTGTTTGACCTACAAGTTCAAAATATATCAGTTTTCTATTGACTGAAGATAAGAATTCCGTAGTACGTTTTAAATTCCAATAGGAGCTATGATAGTTGGTCATTTCATGCTGTTAAAATTATTTGACTGATTTGGAAAATGAATAAGTTAATTAACATTGCAGTGTATTGTACTGTTTGGCATTTCCTGCTTTAAACCGTCCTGTGGAATTTCCGTTGAATTTGAAACAGTCACTTATAACGTCTATGACAACAGATAACAACATTCACACTACATGTTGATCAACTTTAACACCCTTTGGAGCAGATTGAAGGCTTCTACTTAATAAAATTTTCAAACTTTAAACAGAAAATCATTATCGCTCAGCGTTTCAAAAATAAACGCGTTATATATGAGCTTTAAAAATCTAAACCATCCAATGTATGATAAGAGGCATAATCCCACAGATTCTTGTGGAGGTATTTTACTATCTGTTGGGGTGATCCGGCGAATTTCTCGCAAAAGACAAACAATGATCAGGAAACACTAAGAAGCGTTTCGTCCAATCAGCGTTCACTTGAAGTTTTGACCAAAAATATCAAGGGGGCGAAACGTCACATACAGAGGTTCTGATTGGCTGATTACTACACTGCTACTATGTTTAGTAGCATTCCAGAATCTTCGAGCAACCCAAGGACATTAAAAATATTATGAAAACCCTGTATTTTCTGTATTGAAGTGAACGTTGGGGTAAAGTACTTCTCGCATACTTTTGGTCTTCTTTCTTGTTGTTCAGGTCGCTGTATAGTTCTAGCTTGGGGGTTACAGAATAGCTTGGGAAACGAATATAGCGTTCAATCTGCAAGACTTATCATTATCAAATCTTTATAATCCACCGGTGTTGTGAAGACACTTCATTGGTTTGAAGGTCACGGTGTCTGACTTCATACATTACTTCATCATTCTCCACATGTATATCTAGAAAATACTTCAAAAATAATAATATGCAGATGAAAGTCACACCACAAAATTCATAAGAATATTTAAAAATGAAAGTGGAAATTTACATGGAATCCGAAAATCGATAAGAATTGGCCAATCAAGTTTACCATCACAATACTGAGCAACAATCACTCTGTGTTTTTGTTTCAATTGAACAGGTATTTTTATGAAACGTTTGGGAGATTTTGAATGAGTTTTTATTCTCAGTGGTTGATCGACTAAACCACGAAATATTATGATATTATATGTTGTGTTGTCAGTTATTTCGCGAGTTTTCCATTTTATTATAATATGTTTTGATCCTTTCTTCGCGAGTTTTACACCGTAAAATATCTGTTTGGCTTTAAGTAAAACGTTAAAAGAGTTGATTTAGATACGAATACAAATAAAATTAAGATGATCAAAAAAAAGTACAAGTAGCGTCATACGGAAAATGAAGAGATGTTGCATGAAAAATATCACACCGATTTTAAATGAGCATCACGAAGGATAACCAACATGTTGTCCAGTGAATTTAGAAACTATTAGCTTATTTTTTTAAAAATGTGTCGTTAGTTCCTCATCACAAGATTCCTTCTCTCAAGTTGCAGTGTATGTGTTTTTAATAAAGGTCACAATTTTCTCGTTTATTGACAAAATTGCAGTAGATATCTATTTAATCTGATATTACTAAATGTGCCTACGTAAAATTACACAGTGCCTTGGTGAAATATGAAAATCATACACTAAATACATCATTTGCACATTTTCTTTGCGTTGTCCTTTACCTAATCGACTATTCCTCCAATTCTCTTGTTATTCCGACTCCTCTCTGGTTTCCTTTCTGTTCTCTTCAATTCAGTCTTCTGCTGACAGACATTTCACTTCCGATTGCGGATACATACTACTTATACCTGTCAGGACAAGTAATATGCATTACAAATGTACATTACACAAATACGGTGTAACATAAATTATGGTTATGGCTGAAACCACTTTACGTAATTCGATACTTTAAATCGAAATTGTAAAAACGTTGTTCAAACGCATAAAGAAAATTCGATTTGCCATAAATTACTTGAGCCTGGAATGTTCTGTGAAACGATGAGTGATTGGAGAATGTGAACATCGAATGCCATATAGTGTACAGTCCTATGAACAGAACGTTGGTGTGATTCATAAAAATGAAGATGAATTTGAATTTAAGTAGTTTCTGTTATCGACTTTACTAGTGCTATATCTAAAAGTGGACACTTATAGTTGAAGTAAAACTTTCTTTCTGAATATATCGAAGGACAGGTCTAATTACACACTTGCTGAAATTCAAAACTCCGTGAGTGATAAGATATGTCTTATCGGTGTAGAGAATTAGAGTAGTACAACAAACGATCAAAAATATTTCAAATTAACGACTATCAACACTGGAAGACCATAGTTAAGACAAAAATCAGACATATTCATGATCGTTTGGTGTTAGTTGCGTCGCTACCTTATTCACAAGAACAGCTAAACTCAAACCGTTTGGAGACAGATATGAATTGGTTCAGTATTGGGCTACACAGATAGATGGTTACGAAGACATTGAAACTTGATCGCATTTGGAATCTCACAAGCAGTTGAAAATAACATATTCTCTGTTCAATTAGATGTCACTCAATAAATAAGCATATGCACTTCAATAGAATGATAAAATAAACATAAATCAACTTACTCAGTGATTTGATTTTGACAAAAGTGGGTATTCCGAAATATCCTAGTTTATGTTTATCTGAATCTGGTAGTTGTGGATCATATGTTGATAAGATGAATTCTTATTTATTTTCCTCGTTGATCGCCAATCTAGCCGAACTTGCTTTTTCCAACAACAACAACATTTTCAATTTCTTAGTTCCACTGGGTAGAAATATGATGGTGTTTAACTTTTTATTGCACTTGTTTTTTTTCATATCCCATTTTAATTTGATTCTTGTTGGTGATATTGTACGATATCGTATATTTTCGAACATCTGAGGTACTTTGAGAAGAGAGGGTGAGACAAACAAAAGATTACTGTGACACTACACATTCTTAAGGTGATAGTTTCTGGAATTGAAGCTTCCACTTATGACAACTGACAGTCACCTTTGAGCAAATCTAAACATTACTTTCAGTAATATTCAATTGTGAGGTCTATTCTCAGATTAATCTCAGTGTTTCATAGAGCTTCATTTTTCAAGGAACATGGTATTTATCACTGGTTACATTTCATATCATGAATAGATAAATTTTTCAGATCAACTGGAGAACAGAACTTGAAAGTTTTTTTCTTTCTTCGAAAGCTTTAAGTATCGTGTACTAGAACATCATTCAAGATGAAAGTCACAACCTTCTGTCTCTGTCTTATGTAGCGTGTCATTTATATAATGATTTGAAAATCGCTAGTTTAATTGAATAACTCAATGCAAAATAATCAATACACTTATTTCAGAACTGGGCAACATTTATATAGTTTAAAATACTTTACAGATATTTCACAGCGTAATAGTTGTGTTAATTGTTATATGTTTCAGTATACGAACTGTGCGATTATTGGACTCATGTTAAAAGATTTATCAAATAGTAACTGTCAGTACAGTTACCAATAATAAATTCTGATTTTATAAATAGTAGCAAACATCACTTACTATAATCTAAATTATAATTACTGAAAAATAAATCTTTGTAGTATTCTCGAGCCATATATTTGAATTCATAATGGATGCATGTATCATTAGTTTTAATAGTGAGAGTATGTTGTTTAGCATCCACAGGATAATAAGTTTTGTCCTCCTTAATTTTCTGCTGTACGAATAACAAAGGTCTCGAATAAAATCTCTGATTCGTCCATTAAAGGATTATTTCTCTGTCAGTGATCTGTTTACCATTCAAATTTATTTCACCACAGAAGCATTTGGCTGTAATGTAAAATAAAATAGGTCATTATAGTGTAGTGACTCACAATTATCACAAGAACACGACTGGTTTAATAAAAACAATTATTATTATAACCAACTGTACCAGTGTTTATTTTAATGTGCTTTTGTTTGACTGTGCTAATGACAGCTATTTTGTGCTTCCATTCTTATACTTACACTTCGATTGTAACTTCGCGCGAACCCGGTTACCTTCTGTAACCAAGGTTTTATCCTGGCACGATCTCGGTATCCTTTCGATGCCACGAGATCGCCAGCTAATAAACCTCGACTTGGTCCATTAATTGCCTTCTGATATTTGGCTTCTCGGAGGTTTTATGGATTTATTTGGTTACGTCCAACTTTCGCCTTCTGATTAACTTGGCACGTGTTTCTTGGTAGCGGTGTTCATAGTTAATCACAACTCGACTCCACGCTACAATAGCCAAAGTTTTGAACAAACGAATGAAATCTGCAAGAATGCTTAGCTCATCTTATGTTGATGAGTCTATACGAATTACACAATTGACATAACTGAAATATGTGCTACACAAACTCAGTATCGACGGTTTTCATGTCCACTGGTGACTAGCGAAGGATTAAGTTAGAAGGAGGTTAGGGCAGTATCAACGAAGATGTAGATTCAGTTCATAAAGTCATTGGATTTTTGCATGTTCCCTGGTGACAGGTGTATATGCCTGAATATTTTCTGTGAAATATTCTTGATCAAGTGTTGGACATGTAAAATCACAAATAGAGACAGGTTCCTGTAGAACAAATGCATGGGCCATGTACATCCGAAATTCCAACCGACATATATTATGCAACGATTGAGTTTCAACCAGTGAATAATGAAATGTAATCATAGTATTAGGTAACATACAACAACAAACTACTGTAGCTGGAAAAAGTTCTCTCAAACAACTGGTCAGACAAATATCACCATTTTTCTTCTCTTCAATACTTTTATTTCAAAAGTAGGATTTTAACTGAGCAAGACAAATCTTATTATTAGTGCTGACCTGTAAAATCGTAATTATGCTTAAACAAATAGATCTACATTAGTGGCATCTTCGTCTGATCTTGCTGGCGTTCATCAGGACATCAAGGATTCAGCTACATTACTAAGTTATCGCAATCTAATGCGTACTCAACGTTATGCAGATAATTCATTGAGGAGTTGCGATACAGTTCATAAAGATGAGATCAAGTTTGGTAAATGCTTATCCTGTGGCAAATTTCATTCTCGTAATTCATGTGCATTTCGTAATGCTAAATGTTTTAAATGTGGTAAGATAGAACACATTCAGTCAATATGTCATACTACAGTTCATTCCGCTGCAACTAATCTTAAAATTTGTAGTTGTGATTCTATTGAGTTGGGTGTTTCTAACGATCATTTATCTTTATCCACGACTTCGAAAAGCAGTATTGAGTCACATAGCAGACCAGGGTTAAATGAAACTCAGAATCCATGTGAGACAACAGTTTCTAATCAATCAACTTATCAGATTTCTCATCTTATTGTACCAGGTATGGTTTTTCCTAACGATTCATATATTTCTGATGAAATTCCTTATAAATCTGAGGAAAATATGTTGAATGAACCTAGTCATGATCGAAAGCCTGATGCAGTCTTGATAGATGCTGATTTTTCCAATGATCCTTTACTCTGCAATGACATTCCTAATAAAATTGACGAAAGTGTTTCAGAAGAATCAAATCTTGATGTCATATCAAATATTATTAATCCTCATAATGCATTTGTTGCTTGTGGGAAACTTGTTCAATGTGAAGCACGAGTATTAAGTGAGCTCGATTTTGATTACAATTCGGATGATTTCATATCAACTGCTGTTTATCCTTATCACGAAGTCACTTCTCATGTTTACTCTAGTCAATGTGAGAAACATGTTTTAAATGAAGCCACATCGTTAATAACTTGGGGATATGAAGATCCAACATTATTTCGTGGGTGAGGATATGGTTAGAAAATCTTCATTTCGAATTCTAGGTAGCAGCGGTTCCAGTACATAACTGACATGCTGATTACATATTTCCAGGAAGCAGATGAGTCTGTCCCAATTTTGGTTGCTAATTCTAATACTAATGAGTGTATTCTAGATAATAAAGTTTTTATCCAATACAATGTCGGACAGACACAGGATGAACTTGAGAATAAGACATACAACTGATTACAGACACCTAGACTCCAATTTAAGCCGTGGCGTATGTGGTGTTTGAATGAACTAATGATTCCTTTGTACTTGTTCAATGCTTGAGTTGGAATTCTAAATACAGTACATTCGTTTGTGGTTATCTAGTACTTCTTGATCCGATTACGTTATTTCTGGGATTCTTAGTTTATACTATAATTCAAATACCTCTAATTATCTTATAATGATATCTACAATTCAAATACTGTCCAACTCAGTTATCTTTAGGGTTGATGAAAGTGGATGTTGAGTTTGAGGTATAACTTAATTAATTAATATTGACAACATGAGTTTTTTTAACTTAAAATATTCGATAAGTGAACTTATACTAGAAAATTTATAGTAGTTTGCATGTCCCACTAACAAGTCTATGTCTACTGACAGAACAACATTACTGAAAATTCGTATTAAACATCTCAACGACTCCAGTAACTTACATGAATTTATTACGGGAATCATATCATAATCGTAGAATTTACTAACGATGTTTTACAGACTATTCACTTTGATCTTACTCCCGTATAGTTACCTATTCATTTCTTATAGATGTACCTTTGAACCATATGCGGATTCTCATTATATTTACATACAGATACGTGGATAATGTACATTTTTCCGATAAATTCTCATCAGACACTATCTTGGCACATCCAAATTAACAATTAACAATAATGATTAAGGCAATTAAATCATTTAAAATTATATCATATGAATTTAGAATCCTTCAAATCCTTTAAGTTCGTTAGTTTTTGAAATTTTAATTTGCCGTTCATCATCTTACTTATTTTGTCGATTTGGTCACCTTTGCTGAGAAGAGGGACTCTTGATCTGTTATTAGGGTTTGTGATCAATAAATTCTCATCTTTCAGGAGCATGTTTGTGGCTTTCTCGTGACTATTTGTGAGTGCTTCTTGCGTAATATTGGTTATCCTCCTGCTTATTTTGATTTTTAATCTCATAACTTCACTTAACGTGTAAACATTTTCGTACTAACATTGCATATGAGTCATTTCAACATTAACATTAGTAATTTTATTTTACTTTACAAGCAACCCTACATTTATATGCTATAATGTATATATTTTGAGTTGTGAATCTTTTAAATACCAGAGGCGAATCCCTTAGCGATGAAAGAAGTGGATGTATATGTACAAAAAAGTAAGTTCTGCGTCTATTTCTGAAGTGGCCATGTACATATTTTTCCATCTACATTTCCACTGCTTATATTTTATCGAAATTTGTGCATCTGAGCAGTCTAACTTTCATTATCTCAAATATTTTATATAACTTCATGCATCACTTGACTTTTTATCTAAAATCTGTTGTGATCGACAATTACATTATTATTCCGCCCACCCTACGTTATGTAAGTTAACTGCCATCATTATTAAATATACAATCTGGGTCAAGTATACACTGAGTATCTACACTTGACTGATCACTGAGTTGTGATCAGTGTCATGTTTGCCAGGTCCTTCTTAGTGCAGATCGAATTCTATCGACCAAGTTGTAATGCGGAGACTAGTCTAGGTGACTCGACATCTCGTGCACTGTATTAAGATGTTGGTTGGGAATAGTCAATAGCGAACCCTGAACCTAGGTTTCGTGTTAGAAAGATGTACCTGTGACCTTGAAAGAACTGATGGTATCATTTTATCTCAGCATAGTGCACACAATGTCGAATCATTTAGACTGGTGGCCACATTGCAATTTGGTTAACAGGATTCAGTGTACACTAAGAAGGACTTGACACACATGAAATTGATCATTACCCAGTGATCAATCACTTGTAAATACCTCTCAGTCCTATCGAAGGTCAGTCGCGGCCCAAATGGCTCAGTGGTAACATCTCTGATTGTGTTGATGGGTGACACGAGATTGAATTGTGTAAATTTTTCTGATAAATCCTCTTCCTTCTGAGAAAAACATTTTTCAGTAAAATATAAACCAGAATGAAAAATTGTAGCACGAATAATTCCAGTAACATTACCCATGACTCATTTAAAAATCTGTCCACCATAATTACCATCAAATGTGAATTGGTTTCCTTGGCGGTGGAGAAGATTTGTAGCTCAGGTCGATGACTTAATTGGAGTTTTATTCTCTAAGCTAGATTGTTTGTTCGTGGAGCTTTCATTGTTCTTCTGAACAACATCAAATAAATTTGATTCTTGGTCAATGGTAGACAAAATCAAAATAATGAAGTAGACAATGACAGGTTAAAGGTTGACAATAACCAAGCTATAATTTAGGTTTTCTTTAGTAGCATTCTGCGTACACATTGTTGATAGAATTTCTAGTTTTAGTGAACTATAGATTTCTGTTTTGTACTTTGTAATCATGAGTAGCATTTTTATTTACACAGTCTCAGTTAATTTAACACTTTAATGATGTCATAATTAATAATATACGGTACTAAATCTATCATACTTCAAAAATTTATTGAGAAATACGAGTTGCGATAAATCTAAGCTTGCATTTAATAAGCATAGACTAATTCAAACTATAAATAATAATGTTAGAGATTTTCCGTTTTTGACCGTTTTAGTTTAAACTAAGGAGGCAGGGATTA